TTGCTAATATCATGCCTATTTCCTGCTGTTAGGATTTCATCCATGCCATATGTTTTGTTGCACTTAAATGTAGGTCTTCTTCCATACTAGTCGTTCATGTCCCTACTTGCTAACTTATAAAGATCATGTGTCTACTTCCTTATTTATCATATTTGTCTTCATGCTTTCACCTTGCTAGTTAGTCAAAATTACATTCCTTTTTCCTAATCATTGTCTTTACCTATATGCTATTTGTTCAGTCTGTTACTGATGTTCTTATGTACACTCTCGTCCTCCATAGTTATTTGCGTATTTCCCACTATGTCATTTCTGTTATCGGCATTTCTATCATTTGGCTGGAAATACTTTACGCATAATTGGTGAGGATGAGATAAATGCACGAAGGGTGTTTCCCTACCGTTGAATTTGATGCCTTGGGTATATTTTTCACACTATGAAAGTTTTGATGTTACTGGTGTGATTTATTGCTTTCGCTCTCAGGAAAGGATTGGGTGAGATTTTGATACCTGTTGAATTGTGTTTTCTTTTATTACTCCGTTATTGCTTTGTATAATTGTTTCGTATGCTCTACTCTGTTGTACTGTAGTATAGTTTTATTGTTAGTTACATTACAAGTTTTATCAATGAGCATCTTTTAACCAAAGCCTCGTCACTACTTCGACGAGGTTAGACAAGATACTTACTCAGTACATGGGGCCAGTTGTACTAATACTACACTTTTGCACATTGCGTGCAGATATTGGTTGCTGTTGTTGTTGTGTTCTATGGTTGCCCGGATTGAAGATGTACCTGTGTTCCTGTTGTAGCTTCCCCTTGTTCATGGTAGCCCTAGATTTATAAAAACTCTATTTATGTATTTTTCAAACAGAAGATGTATTTACTTCATATCAGCTTGTAAATTCTATTTTTAGAAGCTCATGATTTGTACTACCAGTCCTTGGAGATGTATAAGACTTAGATAACTCCTTTGTTAAATTATGTTATTAAATTAATTGAAAATGGGAAATCGTTAATTAGATTACCTAACGGGATGGGTTAGTTGCCATCACGACTAGTGAATTTTGGGTCGTGACATGGACACACTGACACACCATATTCAAGGGGAGGTTCCATGGAATATGTTATTCGTTGATGATATAGTTCTGATTGATGAGACGCGAGGCAGTATTAACGAGAGGTTGGTGGTTTGGAGACGGACCTTTGAGTCTAAAGGATTCAAGTTGAGTAGGACTAAGACTGAATACATGGAGTTCAAGTTCAGCGGTGTGCCGGGTGAAGCAGACATGGACGTGAGGCTTGACTCTCAAGTCATCCCCAAGAAAGGGAGCTTCAAGTACCTGGGGTCGATTATTCAGGGGGATGTCACGCGGACATGGACATGGACATGTCACGCACGGTATATAGGTGGGGTGGATGAAATGGAGGCTAGCGTCTGGTGTCATGTGTGATAGGAAGGTGCCTCCGAAACTTAAAGGAAAGTTCTATAGAGCGGTGGTTAGGCCTGCCATGATATATGGGGCAGAGTGTTCGCTAGTCAAAAATTCTTATACCTAGAAGATGAAAGTTGCGGAGATGAGGATGCTGAAATGGATGTGCGGACACACTAAGCTAGATAAGATTAGGAATGAAGATATTCAGGTGAAGGTGGGCGTGGCTCCCATGGAAGACAAGCTGCGGGAAGCTAAGCTTAGAAGGTTCGGGCACGTGAAGAGGAGAAGCCTGGATGCACCGGTAAGGAGTTGTGAATGGCTGGCCTTGACGGGTATGAGAAGAGGTAGAGGGAGACCTAAGAAATATTAGGGAGATTTAATCAGACAGGACATGATAGGATGCAGATTTCCGAGGACATGGCCCTCGATAGGAAGTTATGAAAGTTGAGCATTAGGGTTGTAGATTAGGAGATAGGAGACTAGTATGTTAGTATTTTGTTTTAGGCTGCTAATGGCTCCAGTTGTGTTCTTAATACTTCATTAGGTTCGTAAGTTAGGCTGTAGTATGTTTAGTGGCCCTTTGTGTACATATTATTCCCTTGTGTTTGTAGTACTGTGCCTTTGTTACTGCTTAGTGCTACTACTTTGCTCTCTATTTTCTGGTTATTGTGTTGCTGGTGTTATCTTTCTGGATTCCGTTGCTGTTACCGATATACTGTCTCTTTCCTTTTTGTGCCGAGGGTCTACCGAAAATAGCCTTTCTACTCCTCCGGAGTAGAGGTAAGGTCTGCGTATACACTACCTTCCCCAAACCCCACTTGTGGGATCTCACTGGGTTGTTGTTGTTGACTTAACTTTATTCATAACTTGTTACAACAAGCTCTAAAAAGCTGCAAGATCATTACTATTACATCTTGAGGCTTTACAAAGTACAAAGGTTTTATATATTGCTCCACATGATGATACGTTGTGAGGCTTAGCTTCAATATAGTGACCTTATCCATGGATGGCCTCACCTTTGTAGGAGCAGCACCTGTAATTCCGGCGGCCGCAGCAACCATAGCGGCAGTATCCTCCGCATCCACGTCCACCGCCAGGATAGACACCACCACCACGGCCTCCATCAGGATATCCGCCACCAGGAACGGGGTATCTGGCGGCAGGGTATCCGGCAGGGTATCCTCCACCACCGTATTGAGCTTCATGTACTTCATTCTTGTTATTGGATTTCTTTGCTGCATCAATTGTGAAAATAAGAATGTTGTTCTTTAACTGCTTTATTAGTCTTCCTTTTTTTTAGCTTATTATGTGATCCTAACACAGAATTACGTAGAAAATATGTAATCCATAAAGTTGTAAGATTTATGATTATATTTTATAAGGTTTAAAATATGTTATCCTAGTATGAGTTATCCTAGGGTTATTATCCCACCCTCCCATAGAGATAAAAATAATATTGCAATCCCGGGATAACTAATTGCGAGATCAGTTATCCCATGATATTATCCCAACCAAACGTGATATAAACTTATTTCAAATTTAATCTCTGAATTAAGTATCCATTATCCCTTATACCAAACGACCCCTAAGAGTCTTGGTCCAGAGGCGTATCTAGGTCCTAGGATATGGGTTCGTGTGAACCCATACTCCTCTCGTTAAATCATACTCCTTCTGTTCCAGTTTATGTGAACCTATTTTTTTTTGGTCTATTTCAAAAAGAATGACTCATTTCTAAATTTGGAAACAATTTAGGTTAAACATCAAATTCTACCCTTAATGAGATGCTTTTATAACCACACAAATACGGCGGGCCCCTTTTTGACTTGTTTAGGACCACAAATTTCAAAAGTCTGTCAATTTTTCTTAAACTTTATGCCCGGTTAAATAGGTTCACATTAATTGAAACGGAGGGAGTATATAACAATAGTATAGTTCTTGAAAAGTACCTAATTATATGTGTGTGAACTCATGCTCAAAGACTTTTATGGTACAATAATTGCACCTCTACGTGAAATTGATGGTTCAAATCTCACTTCGGGCGGTCTTATTTTTGGAATGGAATATAGATATAAACGTGAAAATCACTAAAATTTTAAAAAGAATATAATTTTGAACCTATAATTTCAAAAATATAAGTAAAGTTAAGCACGTCAAATGTAAATTTTAAATCCACCTCTTTATAACAGTGCATACATTCTCTTGAAATCTAGACCCGCCTCTGTCTTGTCAAGCTAACATTAGTAAAGGTTACAGATCCACTAATACAATTGTAATTAATGTATTGTGTTATTATTATCCTAGTAATTATACACCTTAGTAAATATGTGGTAATTTCAAACTACAGTTTAGGTACCTACTTCTTTTAATGGGGNTGGGATTTAAATAATATCGTTATGACACGTTAAACTCTAATTGGAAAGGTTAAATAATTTCACTAGATAAAAATAAGGCAACATTGAATTAAGTAGAGAATTGAACATATATGCAAATAATGAGAGGGTTCTTACAGTCCTCTTCTGAAGTGGTGGAAGTCTCAGCCAACTCCCTAGCTAAAACCTCAGAGCTTATCATTACAAAAATGGCCAAACAAAGGCCAAGAAACAGAAATGCCTTGGAACCCATCTTTTGTTAAAACTTAGTTATGATAATTGAAATTGAAGGATGGAGAAATTGATGCATTTTTCGGCTCTATTTATAGTAAGATTTGAGTACATCACTTTGATTGAATAGAAAGGTATTAATTTCTGAGGGGACCAGTATTTAGTTGGTAGGTGAGCAGAGTGAAGAATTCACATTTGAGTTCTAAAAAGATATTTACATAACTCCTAGTATACACTAACGGTGTATATATTTTTTGCATTATCGGGGCTCTATTTACGTTAATATTTCGAAAAAGTGCAAGATGAGAAACCCCTACATTATAGAAGATGGGGTATTTAATTAAATTTATGTGGTGTAGTTTATTAGGCGTAAAATTTTAAGAAAGAAATATTAATGACTTTTGAAACTTGTCATCTTAAACATGCGACAAATTTTTGTAACTATAAATGCATTATTAAAGAAAAATAAGAATTTAACGTTAAATTATGTTGGAAAAATATTGGATTATGGAGAATAAGATTTAGCTTGAGGCGTGTTAGGTACACTGTTCTTAAAAATATTTCGCCCACACCGTGATAAATAATATTAAGCGTATCCCCCAAAATTCAACAAGCTCTTCTAGTATAACTAGGAGGAGAAACAACAAAGATTAATGAACAGAAAACTCAGCACAAAACAAAAGGGAAGAAAAGTTTTTAACTCTGTTCACTCTATTCCAACATGAAGACAAAGAGGTATATATAGTCTAAAAGAGAAGTAGACTATCTGTTCCGTATTACAGACTATTCAAAGAAGTAGACCATCAGAATCAGAAACGTTCAATCCATAAAGGTTATTCCAAAAAACGTTAAATCTTAAGCCATTAAGATTGGTCCATTGACTTTTCAATACTAACGGACAAATCCATTTGAATTCAAAAATAAATTAATTTTCTGTTACAAATATATTCAAAATAATTACTATAATAAAGACTCATTAATATAATATTAAGAAAAAGAATCTAGACATAGTTTTGGAATAATTCTTTTTGAGATATCAAAATAATTTTTCTATCAAATTATTCTTAAATTATAAGGACCCGGCCGGCCGGTCGTTTTGAGAGTTATAGCCTCGTTTTCCTCATTTCTGCTTCCTTTTGTGCTTTTCAGCTATATTATGATAGATCGGGTTAGTTGGTTCGGGTCCGGGGTGGTTTCGCAGTGGATTGAGACACCTAGTCTCTAAAGTAGAAGCTTAAGATGGAAAAGTCAATCAGACATTGACTTGTGTGTAAACGACCTCGGATTTAAATTTTGATAGTTGCGTTAGCTCCGTTAGGTGAATTTGGACATAGGAGCGCGTCCGAAATGTGATTTGGAGGTCGGTGGTAGAATTAGGCTTGAATTGGCGAAAGTTAGAAGTTTGGCGATTTTCGCCGGCAGTGGAAATTTTGATATTATGGTCAGATTGGATTTCCAGAAGTTGGAGTAGGTTCGTGGTATCATTTCAGACCTGTGTGCAAAATTTGAGGCCATTCGGACGTGATTTGGTAGGTTTCGGCATCGTTGGTGAATTCGGAAGTTTAGATATTCTTAGGCTTGAATCCGGGGGTAATTTGGTATTTTGATGTTGTTTTGAGTGATTCGAAAGTTCGACTAAGTTCGTACGATGTATAGGATTGGTTGGTATATTTGGTTGAGGTCCTGGGGGCCTCAGGCGTGTTTCAGATGCTCAACGGGTCATTTTTGGACTTAGGGAGTTGGCAGATTTTCTGGCGTTATTGCAGACATTTTTCTTCATCGCGTCCGCGAGGGAGATCTGGCGAACGCGTGGAGTAGGCAGCATTCGCGAAGAAGAAGTGAGGCAGCAGTGGAGTTTGAGTGTTACTCTTTGTGGTCGTGTGAGGACAATTGTGATCGTGTAGGTGTGAGCAGCTAGTGCATTGCGTTCGCATGAGGTGTTACGCGTTCGCGTGGAGTAAATTTCTGAAGGAGCGAAGTTGTTCTTCGCAATCGCGAGGCCATTTTCGCGATCGCGATTAAGGAAACCTGGGCAACAGTGTTAAATTTCAAAATCGAGGGTTTGAACCCATTTATCATATTTTGAGCTAGAGACCACGGATTTAGGCGATGTTTGAAGGGATTTTCAGGGAGTTGATTGGGGTAAGTATTTCTCACTTGATTTTGCTTAAATTTCATGATTATATTTTGATTTTTATCATTTAAATTATGATTTAAAGTAACAAATTGGGAAAAAAGTGGAAGAGTTCTTGAGATGGAATTTTTTGGTTTTGAAGGGGATTTTATTGTCGGATTTTGATAAATTTGGTATGACTAGACTCGTAAGTGAATGGGCTTTCGTTTTTTGTGACTTTTGTCGGATTGCGAGACATGAGCCCGGGGGCCGGGTTTGGGCCAATTTCGGATTTTGGCTATAATTTGGTATTTTTCTTGTGGAATTGATCCCTTTAGCCTGTTTTGATCGTATTGTATTGCTTGTGGCTAGATTTAGGACGCTCGGAGGCCGATTCGAGAGGTAAAGGTATTGCGGAGTAGAGATTTGCTCGAATTGAGGTATGTCACGGTTGTAAATCTGGTCCTGAGGGTATGAAACCCTGGAAGTTTGTATCATTTTACTATTTGGAGGTGGCACACATGCTAGGTGACGGGCGTGTGGGCGTGTATCGTTGGGGATTTTGACTTGGTCCATCCCGTATCAACTGTAAAGTTGAACATTTTCTTGAAACTATATGATTCTTATGTGTTTTAGAAAGAATTCCTGTAAGTCAGGCTGGATGCTATGTTTAGGCCTTATGCCAGTGTTGTTTGGACCCTTAGAGGTCTTTTCTTGCTATCCTCTCATTGTTTTTGATTAAAAATCTATACTCAATCATGTTTATACATATTTACAGCATAACTTAGTCTCTATTACTCAATTTGGATGCATCATATAAATGTTGTTTGGGCTGAATACTTTTTTTCTGAGAGCCCGAGAGGCTGGAGAGGTTTATGAATGAGTGAGGTCGAGGGCCTGATTTGTGAGGATATTTATGGGATCGGGCTGCATGCCGCAACATGTTTGATATAGGTCGAGGGCCTCATTGACTTATGCCATGATTGGCTTGATATAGCGCTTGGGCTGAAGGAGCCCCTTCAGAGTCTGTACGCACCCCTAGTGAGCGCAGGTACCTACTGAGTGCGAGTCCTCAGTGCCAAGTGCTGAGTGACTGGGAGGCATGAGTGATGGCGAGGTCTGCCCGAGGGGCTGTATACGAGTGATTGTGAGGTTTGTCCAAGGGGTTGTATATGAATGATGTTGCCCGAGGGGCTGATTATGATTTCATTATTTTTATCACCTTTGCATTGAGCCTTTGTTTGAAAACTTTTGAAAGATGTCTTTAAATGATTTTACTGGAACTCGATTTAAAAGAGCTGATTTGATTCAAACCCTGGTTTTAAAAGCATATTGTATTTTACTGAATTGTTTTGTGATATGAACTTTACTTGCATTATTTCTCGTCACTAATTATCAGTCTTTATTTACTGTTGTTACTTACTGAGTTGGCGTACTCACGTTACTCCATGTACCTTATGTGCAGATCCAGGTGTATCTGGACACGGTAGCGGTTATTGACTATTTCGGATACAGATTTCCTTGGGGATAGCAAGGTAGCTGCTCTTCTCCCTCGTATCTTCCTTTAGTTGTATTTAGCTATTTTTCAGACTATGTTAGTCTCAATATTGTCAGACAAATTGTAGTAGATGCTCATGACTAGTGACATCCCGATGTCGGGCCTTTTTTCTGCACTTTTGTTTTGATTTGAACTCCTTTACGAAGGTGTTTATGTTAAATAGCCTTGAAATTATTTTTAAAATGAAAATATCAGTTTGTTGTGGAAATGAGTCGGCTTGCCTAGTTCCACGATTGGCGCCATCACGACAAGGTTAGTTTGGGTCATGACAAGTTGGTATCAGAGCCTAGGTTACATAGGTCTTACGAGTCATGAGCGGGTTTAATAGAGTCTTGCGGATCGGTACAGAGACGTCTGTACTTATCTTCGAGAGGCTGCATAACCCTTAGGAAACTCCACATTCTTGAATTCTTGTCATGCGAATCTGTTGATTCTAGTAACTAAACTTCTTTTGTTTCATTCTCTCATAGATGGTGAGGACTCGCACTACCGAATGGGAGGACCAGCCACCAGTACCACCAGCCAGGGCAGTTGGGGCAGTACCTGCAGCTGGGGCAGTACTTGCAGAGCCAGTAGTTACCCCAGATCAGGATCAGATCCCAGTTGTTGATGCCCCAGCTCAAGCACCACCTGTGCCTATTATGATTCCAGTCCTTCAGGAGGCCCTAGCTCAGATTCTGACAGCGTGTACCGGCCTTGCTCAGGAGGTCTCTATCTCGACGGCCACATCCACCTCTCAATCAGGGGGAGGCACTCAAACTCCCGCCACTCGCACACCCGAGCAGGTTGCTCAGGGACTCCAAACACCGGGTGCACCACTAGCCCAGCCGGTTGCAGCTGCTCAGGACTATGTTGTTCCTGTTATGCCTGAGGATGATCAGCGTAGGTTGAAGAGGTTTGGGAGACTCTAGCCTCCACCTTTCAATGGCACGGAGAGAGAGGATGCCCAGGACTTCTTGGACAGGTGTCAGAGGATACTCCGTACATCTAGTATTCTGGAGACTTGTGGGATCTCATTCACTACTTTTCAATTTTCGGGGGTTGCACTCAGTTGGTGGGAGACTTACGAGAGACGTAGGCCTGTTGGCGTAGCACCCATTACCTGGAAGCAGTTCTCCGTAGTCTTTTTGGATAAATTCGTGCCTCAGTCCCGCAAAGAGGAGCTGCGTAGATAGTTTGAGCAGCTTTGCTAGGGTGATATGTCTGTGACACAGTATGAGATGCGATTCTCCGAGTTGTCCTATCATGTGATCTAGTTGGTTCCCACAAACCAAGAGAGGATCAGGAGGTTTATAGATGGCCTCGATTTTCAGCTTCGGTTACTTATGACTAGAGAGAGTGTCTAGTGCTACTTTTGATGAGGTTGTCGACATTGCTCGATAGATTGAGATGGTTCGCAGTT